GCTGTAAGACGCGATGGATACCACTTCTGTTCCTTATCTTTCTTCACCTGACCACGTTTTGTAGCAAGCAGGTAGAGGCAACAATACCTCGTACTCGAGCCAACTTTACCTGAAATCTCCCAACTCAGCGATGCACAGAGTACTACAGGTTTCTTATGGGATTCGATAAATCTATAATCTGGCCCGGCAAATCCAATGTGCTTAGTCCAGCTCTTCTCTGCCTGGTTCGACTGACGATCTCCTATCGTAGGCGAGAAGTGATCATTATTTTGAGCAGCCTCTTCATAGTGATGCCTTTACTAAAATGTTAAATGGTACCCATCGCGTCTTACAGCGCGAATTTGACAACTACCTAAATCCGAACAATGACTCACTATTTCATTCGTGGACTTACCTATGTGAGAGAGGTTTCGGCGCGTGAGACAAAAGTACATAAAAGTCAACTTAAATAAATTCATAAAGAGCAATCAAACCGCACTGGAACACAAACTCTCCTTCTTGTCTTTACCCAATCACCTAATAACCTTACATCGTTTGTCATTGTAAAAATGATATTACACAAAAAGGTCACTCATTGCCATTTTTCAGAGATTTTTCAAGATGCTTTCTGGAGCATCTCGAAAGACTTTGCGAATTTTAGTTCAAAATTTTCGTAGAATGAATGAATCATTGATCAGAACGCAAAGAATCGAATAATACTACATGCATTGTTATCAACATCATCATCATCATCATTGAAAATTTATTGTATCCAGAGAGCATAGCTCGCAGTTAGTCTCATATTGTGAGAAATTCTGTGCAATTTCGAAAAGACATTGCCGTTTTTTCCAATTTTATTCAACACGCATATGTATGAGCCTCTGAAAAAGAAAGCAAATCGTTGACTTGTTGACATCGGTTAACGATTCTGACTCTCTACTGTTAATCCAGCAATAGATTAAAGAAAGAAGACGAAGACCAGATAAGGAAGTGGAAGGTTCGTTCGTGAATATTTTTCTTTACAACAACGAAATAAAGAAGAGCACCGTAAGATGAACACAATTAAGGTCGCATATATCAAAGGGAACAATATAAGAAAATTACTGAAAAAAGATAATAATCCCGCTGGAAACAAATACAATAAAGGGAATCAATAGACAGAAGGATGATTTAAGTTCAATAGAGATATTTATGAGGATTGTCATGAAATTCACGTTTGGATACGAAAACCAATCCAACTCTCAAAGTTGCTTTCTTACTCAAGAAACCACCGCGACAAATGCTAAGTATCAAATATACCCAAAAGCAACTTATAACACTTTACCTATTCTGCACTATTGTAAAATCAATCCATTTCTATATGAAAAAAACCTCCCATTCAAAAATTATGAAATCTTGTACAGTACAAACATGTTTCCTTTTCCAGATTTCTCTTCTAGATTATCATTCAAACAAGCCATTGTCTTTTATAGGATCGAATTCGGAATTTACCTGATGATGGTCCTTAAGCAAGGCCGAAACGATCGTCGTAAGTAGCTTGGAATCCCGACATATCCTTCTTATACTTACCAATAAGACTGGCCTACGATGGATTCTATTCAGTGTTATATGTAGATTATTGGAATCTTTCGAGCTCTTAATGACTTCAGTTGATATTGATAGATTCGTATGTAGGATAAGAATTCCAAATTTACCTGATGATGGCCCTTAAGCAAGGTCGAAACGATCGTCCTAAGTAGCTTGGAATTTCGATTTATACCATCTTATACTCACCCTCAAGATAGGTCCCGAGCCCCTCTAGCTAAATCGAAGGTCAAAAGCAAAATTTTTATCTCAGTCATAGCTACACCTGCCCATGCCGTCACTGTCATCCTCATTCTCACCTTCACTCACACTCCTCCCTCTATTGTGCCTTGGAAATTAACAGATTCACGAGGGAATTTTGAATTTAAATACTGCTTTTAAGTATAATAAGATTGGCCTCTATCCTTGGAAGTCGCGAAAAGCACTGCTTCTGTTAGATATTCTAGTTCCTCCGTTTTGGAGAAATGGGTGCTAATTTTTTTTCAAAATTCAGTCAGAAAAATAACCATAGAATCGAAAATATACAGGTGAGAGGCAGACGAAACATATAAGTAAGAGGGAGAGATAATATACTACGTTGTAGAGAGATAAAAATAGAGATGAGAAAGAAAAGTGTTGTTTTTTCTCATTTTTTTTCTCTCTTATCCTGTCGAGCGCTATCTAAGTAGATAGAACAACATGCAAAACCATATTTCGTCGTTATTTCTCGAAGCTACTATACTCTCACAAACAACAAGAGATGAACAGTGCTAATATAATTATGATTCTAGGATTATTTTTAACAATGAAGACTACAATTGGACAACCCCCAGCAAATTGTGTTTGTTATCCTCCTAATCATGGTCCTAGCCCTCCTCCTCCGGACATAAAGACATGTAACACTCGTGGTTGTAGTCGTGGTTCTAATCCTTATTGTTATATTTATCCTCTTAATTTGGGTCGTAATAATTATTATAATTATCGTGGCTGTAATTGTCCTTATTATTCTTATGATCATGTTATTGATAATGGTGCTTATTATAATTTTAATGGTTTTCCTACTTTTTATAATTACACAACTTGTACTGATTTTGGTAGTAATGCTCGTGATGCTCATGGTAATGTTCCTCCTGATGGTAATAATGCTATTGATTGTTGCAATTTTTGTTGCGATCCTAATGATCCTACAACTATAACTACAGATGCAACCACAATCACAACTACGGCTATAACTACAGATGCAACCACAATCATAACTACAGATGCAACCACAATCATAACTACAACTACAAATACAAATACAACCACTATCAGACCTACTAGTGGTTGTAAGATTATATTAGATAAATGGCTTTATTTGAGTGGTTTGACCATGTTGGTTCTGATCACTTTAAAAATAGATTAAATTCTATCATTAGGTTGGTTAGCCAACGTGAGTATATGATGTATAAATTATTAAGACAGGAATTCGTTTTGGTTTTTCACTTTAGAATTTGCAACAGCCAACCAATACAACGTCTAATAAGAACGTTTTTATTTAAACTATTTTATTGTTTTTCCAGTGAACCTCTCTTTTGTCTTCTGATTTTTTTTAATGATTACTTGATCTATTTAAGGGTACCCCTCCCCTCCCCTCTTTTTGACCATGTCTGGTTCTCCGCGAAGGTACAGCCGATCGGGCTGAAATTTTTACCACAGACAGAGCATCAAAAATAACGAGACCCATGTTTGAGGAAAATTGTTTTAAAGACCTTCTTCAAGGGTTTTGGGAGGGGTCTTCGATTTTCATCGGGCGAGGTTATGATTCCCCTAAAATACGTGAAGCCCTAGATGAAAAAAGCACTTAGTGTTGAAAGCACTTAGGTCAAAATCATTATATCGGCCAAGTATTTCAACTATTGACCCATGTGGACATATTTCTGAAAGACTTAATTATAGCTCATGTTGAAGCTCGTAAAATTCTCTATTGTATGGTATATCTGTCGTAGTGGCTAGTCGAGAAACGTTGATCATAGGATCCGCACCGTTGAACAAGTCACCCACATATCACGGCTTTCCAGACAGGCTAATGTTAAGGGGTCCTAGGACACTTTTTTCACTATCATATATATGAAATTGTAGCGCAAGAAAGTCTCCATCGAATGGTATGTCTATCGTACTGGTTAGATGATAAAGGGTGTCATAGATTATCTTAGACTGTTTGCACATAGTAGATTTTTTTCAATAGACGGAAGTATTTCTAAATATTCTTGGCCTCAGAACGATTATTTCCGTATATGTGATATACAGAAATATAGCGCAGAAAAAGAGCCTTCGAATGACATATAATAGTTTTACTAAGGTATGAAGCCGATAGAGATACACTCGAAAATATGATCCATAATACTTATCAGAAGTGATTACAATTAATTCGACCGAATTTTTTCTGAGAGCATTACTAAGATCTGCCGAGTGGCTATTTATATTTCATGGAAAGATACTACAAATTTAGATAATATTGTTGGTGTTACAAAACATTTAAAAATATGGATAACAAGTTTAAAAACAACCAAAAATCGACGATTAAGACAAGGTGGTAACTTTTTAAATTATTATGCATCAGCATGTATTCTTGCAATGAAAACAGTCAGAAGAACTGACGATGATTATATGCAAGCATTTTTTAAAGCAATGAAATGTAATATTAATGTTTATGATGCAACGAAAAAATTTTATTCATTTATTACGATCAAAGTTCGAACAGACATGTTTTTCTTCGCTTTCCAACACTGGTCGAAAGCACTTGATATTTTTTTCAAGTAGTAGTGGAAAATAAAAGCTGAATTTTACCTTATTCTTGCAGGTCTGGACAAAAAAATCGCGATTCAAAAAATACCTCCGGTCACTTCTTTCATGATCGAATATACACATTATTTTAAACTTTTCTACATTAATTTTGACTCTCGAAATTAATTAAAACTAATTTATATTATCGAAATTATTCCAAATCTGTTACAAAAACATTTATTTAAATGAATTTGAGAGTAGAAATTAATCTGAAGCAATTTGCAGCACGAAATTAATTCGAACTCATTCGAAATAAATTAATTCAAACCAGTTCAGTTAAAACTAAATTAAATTAATGTTTTCTCAAACTAATTGGAGCTAATTTTAGCGAAGAAATTAATTTTAGTTCATTTTAACTGCGAAATTGATGTAAATTAATTTACTACAAACGAATTTAAATTAATTTGGCCTCTTAAATTGATGTGAAGTAATTTTTCATCTTTTCTTGGGTCAGAAATTAGTGTGCATTAATTTAAAATTATTTAAAAGTTTCAATGGGAGTATCTATCTATCTATCTATCTGACTAGCTAGTTAATTATATACCTATGTATCTAACTATGTAACTATCTTCCTGTCTAGCTGCGACTGGATGTGACTAGATAAATGTCACCAAGATTAATGTCACCAAGATTAATGGAGGTGTATGGGATAAAGAATAGAGACACAGACAATATTGAGAAAAAAAAATCAGAAAATGCTGAGAAACGATCTGAAGAACTTCTGACTAGATTTCAGTTATGAAAAATGATGGGAGAGATCTATGAAAATGCATTTTGTTGTAGAAGCTCGATGACAGAGTCAGTTTGACTAAAATGAGAATATTCACAGGAATATTCTTCCGTTCCTCGCGCGGAAATGTTGAATAGAATTTATCGAGAGTAACCGGTCTATGGTGGAGAGAGCTGAAAATTAGCAAGTGGTCTCACATTGATCGAAATAACAATTCCTGATAGAAAATATACGTACATGGTAAAAATGACGTTTAGTTATGAAGCCTCTGTACCAAGGTAGATAAGGGAGAAGAAAAAGTGACGCGATGATATCAATAAAAACATTTTCTCCTCATTCCAGGAGGAGAAAGCAAGAGAATAAAACAAGCTATACCTGCATCGAATGATACCAAGGCAAGTAGAGGAGAAAAAAAAGTGATGGGACGATATCAATACAAACATTTTCTTCATCGCAGGTGAAAAGAGAGAGAGACAAGCTATACCCTCACCCAGTGATACCATACAGGTATAGCATTGAGGAGAAAATGTGTATTGATATCGTTCCATCCGCTTTTCTTCTCCGCTACTTACCTTGGTATTATTCGATGCCATTTACGAGTAAAACGTACTGATTCATCATCATGCCCTGAGGAATTGATGGAAAACCTGAGCTCAAATTTTGACTTTAGGAGTAAACTCAGCTGACAAAGGCGTTTTGCTACGAAGACTCAACAATTTATATCGTCGGAGTTGGGTGCCAGTTAGTGAAAGAGAGCAAGAAGGATGCAACGCTTTCAAAATGCAAGTCGTAGCAGATTTTCTTATAAACGAAGAAAAGAAAATCTATTAATGTTTACTGTTAAATCGAGTATTTATAATGAGTAATCAATGATTGCTCATTATACAGCACTGAATCAGAGCTCAGAAGTTCGTTCGTTTCCACATCCTGTAATCGTTATTAGCATACACCAAACGGTGATAATTGTTTATCTTATTTCCAGAGCAATAACTTTTCGAATTTGGGAGTAAAAGATTTGAAAAAGCAGGGAGGGAGATTTTGCTCCCTTCTCCCGTTGTCGTGGCGTTCCTGCCCACTACGGCAATAGAAATATCGGATGATAGATCAGGTATACGGCGACAGTGATGATAGTAAATCTTTAACAGATGATTATGAATGGGAAAATAATCAAAAGTACAACAGCATCATGATGAATGGAAAAATCATCCAATTGAATTTATGAGAAATATAGTTGAATTTGCTGATGCCAAAATGCACAAGGTATAAAACGTCATAGTTAAACGAGGATTCAGCTTTATTTTGGAACGCTTTGTGATTCAGCTTATATTAGTCGATTTCGATGATATTTGGAACATCATGGAGGAAAAGACAAGAAGTAGAAAGTTTTGATGTTTATGTAAATAAAAGGTTTGTAAATGTTCTCCAACGATATTTGTTAATTCACGATCAAAATCTACAGCGATGGGCATTAAAAACAGCTCGTAATATGCAATTTCAAAACTTTAGGGTATTTGTCAATTGGGTACATAATTTCAAGAAACACTTCAATATTGTTTAGCAAAAATCGCTACAAAATGTGAAATTGCAAGTTGGGATGGTATTGCTCATCCTGAAGCAACAATTTTGAAATAAATTTTTAATAATTATTACCACAATATGATTCAAAAGAAGTACTCAATACCGATCAGATGGATATCGAGCTGGGTGAACAATATACAATCCGAACTTTGTCGCATCATGGACAAGGAACAATACTCAATTCGTTTACATGTAAGAATGCTACCACATATTTTTATACCATACAACCTATAATTAGTTTAAGTGGAATTGATTCAGTGTTCATGCTTAAAGGAAGTTAAAGAAAGAATGAAAGATTAGGTGAAAAACTTATTCGTACCAAAATATGTGGCAATAACCTGCTCTGGTTCTGAAAAATTATTATCATCATTATATCCCAAATGAAAAATTCTTCATTCAAAACTTTATACCAGCAATAGTAATGTTTATTTTTATAATACAAAATGAAACAGTAAACAATTATTACATTATCAGCAATTACAGCTCGCAATTTCTAACGCAGCAATTGTGCTTTTTTTTCTCAGATCACTCCAAATCGACCAACATGCCCTCCATCGTCGACGAACAAATTCATCCGCGCGCATCCGGAGAAGCAGAAAAGACCGTCAATCCCCGTTCGACCCCACAAGATCTCGTCTTCTACGCCGGCTGGTTCTGTCCCTTCGTCCAGTGCACATGGCTCGCCTTAGAAGAGAAAGAACTTCTCTACGAGTATCGAGAAATAAACCCGTACAAGAAGGAGAAGGAGTTCCTCGAGATCAACCCACTCGGACTCGTCCCTGCCCTCGTCTACCAGAACACACCGCTCTACGAGTCTCTGATCATCAATGAGTTTCTCGAGGATGCCTTTCCCCAGGCGAAGCCCCTGCTGCCCAAGGACCCTCTCGAACGTGCACGCGTCCATCTGTGGATGGATCATGTATCCAAGAAATTCAACGCCGCCTTCTTCCGCACACTGCAAGCGCAGGAAGAGGAGAAGCAGAAGGAGGCCCTGGGAGAGCTAATCGAAGCTCAACAGAAATACCTCGATCAAGTCAAAGGTCCCTGGTTCTCGGGTGAGGAGATCTCCTTGGCCGATATCACCCTTGCCCCTTGGATCAATCGCCTGTACATTCTCGAAGAACACCGAGGATTCAAAGATGAACTTGTGGGTGGAAAGTGGAAGAAGTATGAAAAGATGATTAAAGAACGACCCAGTGTGCTCAAAACAACATCCGAGCCCTAGTATTATGTGGAGATTTATCAGCGATACTTGCAAAATGAAGCTCAGTCTGAAATGGCCAAGGCAACAAGAGCGGGAAAGGCCTTGCCCTAGTTGGGGATTCGGGAGATACATTTCTTAAAACATTGCTGATTTTGAGTTTCGCAATTTTCAGATTATTCAGGCTGATCAACAGCTACTATTGTGCGCTTTTGAGAATTAAATATATTCGTGATCAAGATTCACGCATTTGTTCAGAGGAATTAATAAGGAAGGCGGCATTCATGACTTTTGTGTAATATACAGAAACGCCCTTCACTTTTTCGTTTTTGTTCAATCAGGATAAATTTCGCTGCTGCTGCTTTTCTGTTATAAGAATTTTAATTTTATTTAATTTATTAAGTTTGCTTGCAATTCGTAATAAACAATATTATACTATAGTTATAATATAATATAAGTCAGACGTTTCAATTTATTAGCTAAATTTTCTTCAGTGGCAAAAAAACAAAAATAAATTTAAATTAATTAGATCAAGACATTTTAAAATACTAAACATAAATTGTCACAAGTAACTTTTTTCCAAGTAGCTTACATAAGATGTTAGCAATAAAACTATTGTACAAATATGATGAAACAGATTTCACTACAAACATATAACGACAATAAAGCACATATCAAACAATATTATGTATGTTATCTACTTGCATAGAAAAATAAAGAGAAGTAAAGAAAAGTTTGGCATACGGATAAAGAAATAGAAAGATAGATAAAAATTTGTTTTTATATGTTTGTAGTGAAATCTGTTTCATCATATTTGTACAATAGTTTTATTGCTAACATCTTATGTAAGCTACTTGGAAAAAAGTTACTTGTGACAATTTATGTTTAGTATTTTAAAATGTCTTGATCTAATTAATTTAAATTTATTTTTGTTTTTTTGCCACTGAAGAAAATTTAGCTAATAAATTGAAACGTCTGACTTGTATTATATTATAACTATAGTATAGTATTATTCATTACGAATTGCAACCAAACTTGAAAATTTTTTCAGAATTCAGCAGGATCCTGCGAGATTTTACCTCGTTAGACGTGCGAGATCTCGGAGGGAAAAAACGTGTGGAGTTCGGAGAATTTCCAGTAGGTTTTTCCCTCGGCAATCTCGCCGCCTTTTTTCTCTCGGGATCCTGTCAAATTTCGATAATGAAAATAAAAAGTAAATTTTCGGCCGTTTCTAACTTTGCCGGAACTTGCGAAATATTTTATTGCGGGATCTTGCCAAGTTTTTCTGTTTTTCGATCCTGGGACGTTCAAATTTCAAGATGAAGACTCACCTAATTGAACCATCGCGCTTGTTTTAAGCTGCATAAAATAGCTACATGTATTGTAACGAAGTTTGATAATGAACTTATTTGCACTCTGATTTAATTACTAATTAAATGATTTCACAGATTTTGACAGATTTAGGTAACATAACGTAAGATGTTAAATAAAGGTAAAATAGTCATTTCTTAGAACAATTTTTGAAGTTCTTCTCCTAGATTCGATCTGCCGATCTTCATATCTTTTCTCCACCATTTCTTCAACATTTCTCCAACTACGCATTTTCCCATTGCACTAAACAAGCTCACTTAGGCAAAACCTCCATGGACGCCAGAAAAAAAGTCAAAATAGAATTAAAAGGAGCCCACTGTCGGATTCACCGAAAAATGTTGCACCTAGCGCCAACTTTTATCTAATTTGGTGCATCGCGGCACAAGTACCTAATTTTCTACTGCTAAAAAGTACAAGTTTCAATGACAAATATTTTCAAACATTACGCGAACTGAGACTAGTATTGCATCAAAATTCAAAAACTTAAATGAAATGACATCTGATATGAAAACAGCTGTAGACAAACAAACGTCGGATTCGTGATCAGTATCCGAAATTACCTTAGAAAAGCTATGTTTAAACAGAAAACCTTTTAGTCACGTGGGTAGATTCCCTCATAAAGAGAAAATTTCTTTTAAATTTGGATGAAAAATGGCCTTGTGACGAATAAAAGATGGAACTACCTGTCTATTATATCATTTACTAACATTTGCCAAGAGAGAAACAGAAAGACATATTCCTTACGGTTCTATGAGTTATGAACCATAGACTGAACTCGTGTTTTCATATAAGTTACAACGATATAAGTGAAATTTAATATTTTCATCAAATATTCTCTCTTGAACGTGTGTCAGCAACGAAAAGTAGTGTGTCATGTGGAACTCGACGAGATCTATCCAAATATATCTTGATGTCGTTTATTCAATTCATTTTAGCTGTATAAAATACATTTTATTCCTTTCCGCATTGTGTTATGAGTCAGTCAAATATCCAGGTATCGACGTCTATAGTGGTTAATTGATTTACGCTTGAGTTTTATTTATTACAGAAGAGAAGTATCGTAATGTAAGTAAAGTTCAGTACAAAAATGAAAAAGAAAATTACATGTGGTGGAAAAAAAAATACAAAAGAAGAAACAATAGATTGGATTTTTTTTAATAACTATAAAATACATATAGCTATGAGTGTGTACGAAAAGGATGCCTAGGTAGCGATTTTGTTTTTTCTGCCTGATTCAGTGCGATACAGTTGTATGAGATCATCTACAGGGAGAGATGTATCAGATGGATGAGCTTTTGGCTGTGGGTTTGGAACTGAAAGGGTCGTTAGCTGAATAGTGGGTGAAGATTGGGATGGCTGAGTGTTTTTTTGACAGCGTCTTTTATACAAGATAATTGCTGCCCCCATCAATATCAAACACGCAATAACTGTGCTTAAAATGATAGAAATTGTATGATGAGGTTTCAGTTTAAGGCTGCCGAAGGTCCAGTTAAGCACATTTTGTTGCTGTGAAGCTAGCTGGTCCTCTAGAGATTTCACTAGATCCATATCACCAGTGCGAGGATATACTTTTGGAATATTTACATTCAAATTTTTTACTCGATCAACTACCCGAAGAATATCATCAGATTTCGTTTGCAAAACGTATGGCGTTATAGAACGGCATCGTTTTTCCCCAGCGAATGAAATATTATTTTCACAAGTTAAAGTTTCTTCACATCCAAGATTAACGATACCTAGGCTTCTTATATTTTGCCAATGCTTGCTGTTAACAACGCATGTCAAGTTCTTATTCGTTGAAATAGCCACTACTCCAGGTAAAATACGTGCAACATACGGTGGACTATACGGTACAGGTTTTGTATAACACTTTTTAAGTCCCTTTCCAGCTATAATTTCCTCTAAGCACTCATTTTGTATACGGTCATGCGAGACGGATGGATTACGACAAATAGTGTACTTACCAATATCACAACTAGCTGAATCAGGTTTTTCCATCCACTCCATGTAAGATCCGTCCTCACCCAAGGCCAACAATTTTGGTAAACTGCTTATTTCACCGGCATTTTTTCCAGTAAAAGATGGAATCGTTAAAATATAATAGATTTGCGTTGTGGAATTTCCAGAGATCTTTAGTTTCATAAAATAGTTAGTGAAGACTAAACTGCCCATCTGTTTCGGAATTAAATCTTTAACTTTCGGAGACGAGGAATTCTCATTAATGGGCCCAAACTGAACGGTTTGTGCAAAGAGCATTCTAGTAACAAAAGTTGACTTCGATTCTTCTAAGGTTGGAATCGAATCCTTTAGCTGGAGATAAGCGGTCTCAATCAGTTCGTTTTGCTCAGACATGCCAATGAAATCAAAGTTCAATTCATTATTAGCAATTCGATGCATTGAACTTTTGAGTCTTTCATAACGATGTTCAATATCTTTAGCAATATTATAACGAATCTGATCATCAGTGAAATCTTGAAAATTTTTCATTTTAGCTATAGTATTCCTAGCGGCTTTTTCCAGTTGTTCAGTATTATATTCACTCCGCTCAAATCGTTTAGCTAATTCAAGTGTCGTTTGTGTCACATTAAACAAAGAACCTTGAAGGGTTACAAGTTTTTGTGACGTAGCAGATATCGTATTTTGCAACTGATCCATTCGATCGGCTAACTTTCCGTTTTTATAAGTGTTATAAACACTTATGCCACCAGCAAAAATAGCCCCAAGTGCTCCAACCACACCTAATACAATACAAGACGTTTCTGTCGATGGACTGTGAGTTCATCAGACGAAACTCCGTTAGCTTTAGTAAAGTTGTACCTCGAAAAAGATGCCAAATTACCATCATGTTGGTCACTTCGAATTTGTTCCGAAACTCGTTCCTGATATTCTTGGCACATGAGAAGTTTGTCTGAAATTGCCATAGATAATAATGAACACATGTGTTCGGTTATGGGAACAGACAAGGAGAGTGCAAAAATATCATCTACTTCATAATATCGTCCACTTCTCATAAAAACCACACCAGAACTTTCATGTACTATTAATGGTTCTTCATTCATTATGTGGTTAAAAATAGAGTCCTTTTGACTACTCACATTTATCAAGCCATACGATACCAATATAACAATCACAAGCAGTGTACGTAATTCTTTAATGATATACATTCAATATATTTGATATTCAAGATGTTGCTTGCGATAATAACAAAATGATAAAAGACTTCTAATTAATCAAATTAATTATTATTCAGCACTCCAGTCAGATAACCAATGACATTTGATTGTTCAACAAGTTAATTTGATAGAAAAATGAAACGAAATGCAAATTACTCAGTAATATAATATATAAAGTTCATGTTTCTACGATAAAATATAGCGATATAGTTTATAGAACGCATATATATAGTTAATCGAGTGAATTTGTATTGGTTCAACCTAAAGATAAAGTACAAATAATCACAAAAAATGTGTTGCTTGTGGTGTGAAAGAGCTTATGAATAATAATAATTGAGTGTAATTTTCATACGGTCATTAGTACATCTAAACCAATAATTGGTTCATAAGTAGATCATGTTGAAAATATTTTATAGGTGAACTAATAGTTGTTTGAATGCTCGCATCGATTACCTGTCACTAATTCTGTCTCATTCGTATATACTAATAATTATATGTTTCTGACAAGAAAAAAGCGGAAGCGATTCTCCTTCTATATATAATCACAACTAGTTGTCTTGCTCATAATCATTTTCCGTTTTTAACTACGCATATTCACATTCCACAATGTTTAGACAAATTAGAAAGAAGTTTAGCAAAAAGTCTGGCGATGCGGATAATCGTTGGGCTACGATTGGTGGTATACAAGAATTTTTAGATGGAGTAAAACATTTGGGTGACAACTATCGCGAGTTGGATCATAATGAGGTAGGTTTTAGAGTAGAAGATTCAATATGGGGTAAGTTAGCAGTCCAACTAAAACTGGAGAATAGTGAAAGTATTAGAAAATGGCTGTACACTGTATGGCGGTATGATCGACGTCGGGTACGTACAATTTTTTTCAACACAATAACTGCCACACTTGACCAAAACGCTTCTACAAACAATGATTCGTCCGAAAAGCATCCTGAAGTATCTTTGATGTCTAATCCATCTGTCGAAAAAATCCATACTAGGTTGAATGATAGAACTGGTGACACAAAAATTTCAGAAACTACAAGAGCGTTTACATTGACGTATGATGAGTGGAACTCTATATATGACAAAGGTAAACATGCATTAACTAGCGGGTAGACTAAAATGATTTATAGTAAGTTACTGCATAGTGGTGTAAATTGCCCGTTAACATTTAAGTATAGTCATCTGAAAGTCAAAAACTCAAAAAAAAATAATGCACCATTTTTCTACTGCACATCATCCTGTATGTTGCAAGAGTGCGATATATGTTGCTCAGTTACTCTTCAACAACCGCCTGACAAACACAGATATGGAATTTTTCAAGTGAGAACCTTAGGTACAGAGAACCATAATCCACACGAAGAAACTGCTGCTCGTCGAATTACTGGTACAGATCGTCTTTTAATGGGTATGTTTTTAAATGCAGGAATGATTTCTGCAAGTGCAATAATTGAGTGCCTTTTCCCTTAAGGCGAACAAGCAGATGAACTCGGTCCTTTACGCGTCTTTGAAAAAAATGTTGAGAATGCCAATCCGAAATTGTTAAAGACTGGCAATTTTACTGGTTGTCCAACAATTTCAGCTTTGAAAGCAATGGCAGATGAATATCGTCAACATCGTCGACTACATCATGAGTATTATAATGAAGTTAGAGTTTTATCGACTGCTTTGGACATTGCCGACGTAATATCTGAGCATGTCATCGGTAAGAGCTTACCGAAAAACTACTATTCAGATGTGCAGTGTAACAGTGCAATTTCAACTTTCTGATTATAGGTTTCGTACAAGTAAGTGGAGATAAGCCTTTTACTATCCATATGACAAGTGAACAACAAATCACTCGCTACATTGACTATTGTCGTTCTGATAAGTATTCTGTTATACATGTTGATGCTACGGGTTCGGTCATACGAAAACTTCCAGATCAGAAACGTTCTTATTTCTATGCTATTATTTTTAAAGACAGCGAGGATTCTTCTAGTATCATACCGTTAGCTTCTGCTATCTTGTCAGATCATACTGTTGCTAGTATAAGCTACTTTTTGAATTCAGTCCGAAAATGTATTGTTACTGTTAAAGGGAAAGTTTGTTCGACCTACATTCATTGTTATTGATTTCTCGGCAGCTCTGCTGAACTCTATTTTAAACGCGTTCAATACTGAAGAAATCAATAGATACTTGCGTCGATGTTGGAATATTCTTTTACAAAAATACTCTTCCAAGGATCTGAGAGCATTATCTTTCGTTAGATTCTGTTGTGGGCATGTGATGCACGCCTTTGCAAGAAGTTTGGCAGCTGCTCGAGTGGAAAAACACTTAAAAAAACCTGCAATGCACATGTTCGTATTGATTTTAAATTGCAATACGTTCTTAACAGCCCTAGAAACTTTCAAATCAATTGTGAATATATTTGGTGATCCCTTAAATAATAACGCTGAAGCCGTTTTAGACAAGTTTCTCGTTGTCGATGCCCCTATTGATAATTACGATGAAAGTACCGAAGAATGTGATGAGAATAATGCTGTAGATGAAGTAAATGATCCACTAGGTGAGGTTGATGATCTCGAACAACCAGAAGTTCCTATAGTGCATCAGTCACCATTTACCTGTGAGGCCAACAATCAAATTCCGCTCTTGAACACCCTTTTAATCGACCAGGTAGAGCCTAAACATGTAACAAATTCAATGTATTGCAAACAGATAGTTAAGATAACATACAAATGGTTTGCATATTTACCGATGTGGAGTTGTATTCTATATCAATTTGATGAGCGGTAAGCGAAAATTCCCGTGCTAAGGCTTGTTTGATTTTCTAACGGAAACACTTGTTTTAGTTATGCCAATGATAGCGTTTATAGCTCCACCACACATAGTTTAGGAGCAGGTCGTTTGTCTAACGCTACTATCGGATCGTATTTTGCAATAATCAAAGAATCGGTACTTCAACGAAAAACCAGACTGCGTCCTGCAGAGTGCATTGCAAAAATCTTTCGAAGTACTCAAGCTAGACTGAAAGCGGGTAAATATGGTGTTACTCAGTCAGCAAAAGGAAGAAAAAACAGTAAGAAGAAAACTGATGTAGCTATCACCGAAACATGGAACAGAAGTCAACGGAAAAAAGTAAGAGGCGTGTACTTTGGGAGAGTTACGAAAAAACAATCATTAACCAAAATACAACGTACTAGTCAATGCAAGTACGTCACGACTTTTTACCTACAGAAGTTATTGATGACTAAAATTCTCTTTACACTTTAGGTTAGTAGTACCGTCACAACTGAAAAAAAGGTTAACAGAAGAAGATTATTATGATCTTAAAGATGATCAGCTAAAGTGAGTATGTGATATAAATTTTACTCTGCTTAGTATAAAAGCGAAAAAATTTGTATGGTTATTTTCTACTACTGCATAAAAACCGATCAAAAGCATTGAAAATTTCATTTAGTGTCTCAATGAACTCATCGACCGATGCAGCATTGACGGAGTTAAATGCATGTCGAAAAATGGATATCTCTCCAAGACACAATCATGAAGAAAGTGCTGACGTATCTACTGAATTATCACAAAGTGACGATGAGACCTCGCGTCAAGAAAGTAATACAAGCTCAGCAAGTAGTAGGAAGAGTACGCGCCGCCGACAACCAAATAGTCGATACAGTGATTTTGCTTTACAGTCAACAATTAATACATGTACAAAATCAAAAGAACCAGTTATCATAAACGTATTCCGAGGAATAGCACTCATGCGAAGTCACAAGTAGATACGTATCCATACACAAATAATTTATTAGGGATTAGTGTACGGTGGCCAAGATGGGGTATCAACAAATGTCTGTATGAAAATACTTGTTATGCCATCCGCAATACATGTCCGTTAGATTGTGGACTATTTTTAATTTATATTACTTATCTTACCCGCGTACGGACGAATGCAGCAATAAAAAGCAGTACAACTTCGCCCGTTTGTCGAGTTCTTGAAAAAACGTTCATGTTAGTCGAAAGTAACGGGTGGGATGTAGCTAGGCTGTACTGGATGCTGTATTATAAAATAGTAAATGACACAACAAAAACCGAAAACACTGACGAATATAATATTTTTGGAAGTACTGATGCAAGTGTATTTGGCCACGTAAAAGAAATTCAAGAACATAAAAGTGATAACTATTGTGCCAATATTAATTGTCCTAATCAGCATACTCGACGATTCAGTCATGACATAATCATGCGGTAAGGTCGAATCTAAGTACTGCTGCGTGTATGCGTCAAGCATTTATGTATGCTTCTTTAGAAAAAAAAACGGTAATTATCCCGACGAACTGGAACAGTTTACGTATCAGCAAGCGGGTAGATGTGGAGCAATTGTTAATGAGAACTACCTTGGAGATACGTTTGAGTCAGATTTGCTGACAGATGATAAAATTCGAAAGTAAGAAAATATCAATCTAGAAGCACATAACATATGTAACGTTTTTCCTGTTAGGAAAGTCAATTGTTGTGCTGCAGAACGCATTTACCTTCCTAAGGAATTCGTAAATCAACCGCCGTTCTGTATTATTGATCTTCCACATGAAGATCAAACAAGAACAAATCAATTACCAAATATGTTACGTATTGGAAATGAAGAGTAAGTATAACTATCAACTTGAACAAGTGCGCTGTGTTAGATAAGCACACAACATTAGATAGCGTAAAAGAGCTATGTTACCTGCTTTAGACCGCACCACTTTAACTTGGTTTATAAAATTTTAGCTACCGTTTAGTCGGTTGTACTTGTCATGAACGAAGCAAGAATCATTTTACGTTAACTCTCAAAGTTGATGACGATTATGTAAAGTATAACGGCATGAATCCTGCAGGATTGTACAAGTACGATGGAACTGACATCATTGAATCTGTTGTTTATTCCCAGTGAAGAATATACAATACTTTTAATCTTACCTTGAGTAATAAAATGTGTTTCTTATGGTAAATTTAAAAGTAAGGCTTTCTTTTCATTAACACGTTTTCTTTTAGGCTGTATGCATTTCTGTGTTACATGCAATAAAGATTGATTTCTCGCCTGAGAAAGTTATAAGACAATTGTACATTCAATTAATAATCAAAACAGATTCAAATGCTATACGTGATATTCACAGAAAAAAACAATGCGTCACTAATCAGTTAAATTAATAAAGCCTTACTGATGAACTATACATCTAAAATCCGTTGACTTGTTATATAGATAATTAATTATTAATATACACCCTATTCTAGCAATCAACAGAGAACAGCTGCATTCTTTCTAAATTGCTTAATTGGAAAAATTTACAGATGGTGTTGATCAGCCATCTAATAGTAGACAATTAACTTCCTCACACATTTCAGACCCACTATAATCTATATATAGACGGTTAACTCGTTTTTTCAACCGTTCAGTTACTATTCTTTGTTGTTCTCAGTTCTTATTAAATGTATCACTCTTCAACGAAAATGCACAACAGAAAACCACAAATTCAAAGTTTAATGTCTTTCAAACCCATTTTACCACTAATGTCATTTTCAATTCAAAACTCAGACTTTCCAGTAACAGACTCAACCAATGATTCAACTGCAAAATCGGTGAAGGAATCTGTCCCTCGAGCTGCTACTAAACCATCAAGAAAAAACTTGAAACGATTGGCTCGTCAACCCATTATACGTCAAAAACAACAAGAACAAATTGGAAAATCCCAAAATCTTGATAAAAACAGTATGTTTTTCTCTATACATTTTTGCTTTTATCCTTAATCAGTCTATCTTTCTAGCACAACTACAACAAAAGTTCAACAAAATTCAAAGGAATATGGCAAAAATGAAACATGCCATAGATACATTCAATGAATTATTAGACGAAGTGATTGGTGACTAAAGCGAAGGTGACTGAGCGAATCAGACTAAAAATCTTGTTGATTCTTTGCCAACTGCTCTCTCTGCACCTTCCTGTGCTGAAGTTTTATTTAAAATTGAACCCTACCTTCCTCTTCTAAACACGATTATATTCTTTTCTTTGTATTGTTCTATTAATTTCACAATGCCGAAAAGAATAAAATGTATTTTTCTCAGCTAATATGAATTGAATAAACGACATCAAGATATATTTGGATAGATCTCGTCGAGTTCCACATGACACACTACTTTTCGTTGCTGACACACGTTCAAGGGAGAATATTTGATGACAATGATAATTTTTTTGTTTTTTAGTGTAGTCTTCAATGTGGGTTAAGCAGGGAAACAATACTATTGTACTTTGCTGTGAAAGAATAGATCGTACGAAAGATCTGAACATATATTCGGATTCAGCTTGTCAAACTGCATTTGTCGAGACTGTTTTCAGCCGTGACACACGTCGGTGAGAGAATCTTTAGTAGAAACAGGGTGAAATGGTAGTAGTTTTCTAAGTATTTTTCACTTTTCAGATTTGCGGAAGCTGCTCAGGTAACATGAAGTATACCATTCGGTAGAGCTCGCCGAAATCTATAAGATACACTAAGTTTTATCAGTGACACAGTGTAGTGGGAGAATATTTGCCAAGAATACTAGTTTGTTAAATATGTTCCCGTAGAAAATATTACTGTTTGCTCAGTAAGTGCGTCCCATGGAAGGATCTGTTTATTCCGAGTAGTGCAGTTATATAGAGCTCATCGAGTTCTCTGTGACACACGCAATAACTTTTCTGACACACGTTTGTGTGAGAATGTTTCCTAAAATTATTAGAATATCAAGCTAACTTATCCTACGTTTTAAAATGAGAATAACAAAAACATATATCTTCAATCACACACGTGTCCATAGACACATAGTATACTGTTTGTGTTATAAACAGAATGGACTATCTATTTGTATAAGAAATATAAATTCTCCCTTTGAAATAAGAGAAAAAGAATTCTTTTACGTTCTTGCAATTCAAAAAAATTACTAACTATTTAGACTTTGCGACATTATAGCGATCGCGACGCGAATATAAGATTTAAGCGCGATTGCGCCGCGAACCAGTCTCGAAAGTGGACCTGGGAGCATTTTGCTACTGAAACTCACGAATAGCGCGAGTTTTTAGCGATCGCGTCACATAATAGTGAGACATCCGCGATCACGCCGCGAGTTTTAATTCGCTTCGCGAGTCTTACAAGATACTTTTTTAAAAAAATACGATTTTACCGAGATCGCGCCGCGACAGCGTGACTTTATAGCGATCTCTCCGCGAAAGCGCGAGATAATAGCGATCGCTAGCGTGACATCGCGATCACGCCGCGAGTTAGTCGCGACCGTTGACCTGGGTACATACTTTTTTAAGATTATTTTACCATCGTATTGTCCGCGTTTTTTGGTCTGAATTCTTCAAAATGAACACTATGTTGTTCGACAACAAAACAATTTTAATTAATAAATGTGGATAAAATGAAGCTTAAAACAGTTTCTGTTACAATAGCGTTTCTACGATTATCTTGTACCTTTAGCGCCACGTAAACTTCGTTCCTTAAGGGAACATCTACATATAAAACATACCGGAGGATTACAGAACATCAATCAGTTTATTAAATAAAACATCAACAGCACAGAAACGCACAATGTGCTCGTTTTGTCCCAATTGTGAGAACACTTCCAGAAAAAGAATCGAATGATGAGTGCCTATGTCGTCCAGAGTATCAATCAAGAGCAAAATTCTATTTTATTGAATACAATATTGAACAACAATTACATCAAAATATTCGAACATGAAAAACAACTTACTTTTCCAACACTTGATTCGACTAATCCACAAATAAAACAAGACATACGATTGTAATCTTTATCAAAATATTCTTAACAAAGAAAGTGAACAATTTGTTACACTACTGATGAATGCAGATGAAATCCAAGTGCGACACAGTGGTAATTTATCGATTTGGCTAATAACATTCATTATTAATGGCATTGATCGAAGAAGAAGATTCAAGTTAGAAAATGCTGTTTTGGGAGGACTTTGGCCTGGACCAGCTAAGCCAACTAAAGACCAAATGTTCAAAATAATGAAATTAGTGGTAGAACAGCTGTCGAAGTTAGAAGAGGAGAGATCCTTTATCGTTAAATCACAAAATGATCGTGCGATCCCATTAAAAGTATTTGTTTTATCAGCATCATCTGAAAAACCAGTAATTACTCTGCTTCAAAACTCTTCTGAAGCAACCGGTGCATATGGATGCTTTCGATGTGAAATTAAGGGTATATAAAACTCTTATTTTTCCCATATATATTGTTATAAAAAACTTTTGCTTTCTTTCAAAACATAACAGTTCCAACAGGACGTGCAAATCATTATATCTGTGTGCTTCCATCAATACCATCGAAAGAAGCACATCTCAATCTTCGAAATAACGAACGGTATGACGAAATAATGAAATTTCTTGATATTGATACCATGGCAAACATAAGAACACGTACGCAGAAAGAACAACTCATTCAAGATCTCAAAGGTCATAGCGGCATTCTCTAGTGGTTTCTCACCGGAATATCTTGGTAACTACCACATCCAGCCAGTGGTAATCGATTTCTCCGCTCTCTGGTATAAAATTCTGAAATACATTTGACTCAAAGATGAAATACATATGAGTAAGATTTCGCTTACATTTCCTAAAATCTTACGAGGCAACCACCCAAGGTGGTAAATCGGTTTTTGCTCCAAACCTAGTGGGTTATAGGTTATCGACCTTGTTGATTCTGAATATGACGATGGGGATTCCCCATAGCCCATCGAAGATCCTGTTTTCTGGAAACCACTCTTCCAGAAACTCTAAAAAATAACCTAACGTCAAAAAATATATAGAGAAGCGTCTCAACGTGATCAGAATATATAATATATATTTAGTTTCCAACAATGAGCCCAGAAAACACCTTTCCGAGGTTCTATAATGCGCAGGAATGGAGATATTGAATGTTTTCGGGAAAAGAGACCCTCTCAATGGTAAAAGGAAAAATGTTAAACGTTAAGAGTTTTCTGAAAAACTCGTCTCCAGAAAATCGAACTTTTTAAGAATCATCTGAAAACATAGAGAATTAAATTCTGATCAAAATGAGACGCTTCTCTGCTTTTTTGATGTCCCAGTCTAGACTAATAAAAAGTCAAAAGTTGTTGATAAAAAGTTTCTAGCTGGTGTCTGAATTTTTTAAACCATTCACAAATAAATATATTTTTTCTGTATTTCTGCTCGGTAGATTAGAAATTATTTGAACAATTGCTTTAGACAAAACCATTTCATGTTCATCTGTATGTCTTATTGTTTGTATTTTGCCTACGTTTAAAGTAAGCTTCAAGGCGGTTCGATGGCTTAAGAATGAGCATTCTATCTCTTCAGAGAAAAAACTAGACAGGTGAAAATTTTCTGAAAGCTTAAAGTTTGTCACAAAGCGAGAAAAAATAATGTTTAGGCGTATCAAAAGTAATTTTCCACCTTTAAATCATTATCTATACAAGCGGAAATGTGTCGAATCATCCTGGTGCAGTTGTGGAGGTCAGAGGAAAGATATGCTACATTATTAGAAAACACAACCCTAAGAAACCTTGAATCATCACTCGCTGCGCCGCTTACCAAAATCGTGAATCAATCACTTGCTTCTAACGACTTTCCATGTAATT